AATAAATATAGGTACTAATATTAAGAACAACAGTCTTGTTTTGGGCACCCCTCAAATGCTACCCCTCATTTTGGGAAAACCCTCTTATGTACATCGCAGTCGAGACGGGCGGTCCTTTGCAAAGGTGGCAGCCTGCCATCCAAGTTAGCTTGCAGGAGCCAGCTGGAGACCCAATGGTCTGAGATTTAGGGTTTCGGGGTTGGGATTTAGAGTTATCCACTTACCCTGATACTGGAGAGGCAAATGAAACATGAAATGGACACTAGATGTGTCAAGGGAGACACGTGGCACAGGCATTACCTGCCCCTCAGAATCAGGAATATTCGTGAAACGGGGGCGCTGGGTTATTGGACATGGGGGCTTGTCAAGATTAGGGTCCGATCTCTGGCACCGTGCGTTTCTTTTGCGGCCACATTATGTATGGAGCCCAAAGAAGGCACGAAGGCACCGTAGTTAAGATAACTGGCCACCTACTACCGTCCTTGCAGCTGGGATGTATGAAGACACATGCAGCATATACTGCCAATCTGGCTAACAGTCCTGAGGCTTGGGTTTTCAACTGGGGCAGCGGCAAAATGTACCCACTCTACTGCCATCTAGTCCTCTGCTACGAGCAGGTCTATCATCCTTCTTGAAACCGTACGTTCTCTTGTGTTTGTTCGGGGAAATGTATCACTATCCTTTTATGCACTTCTTGCGGCTAGTTTGTGTGTTAGCTGTTGATGGGGATCTTCCTGCTTCTTGCCCATGCAGATCTCACCTACTTTCAGCCGGTAAACCAAAAAATGGGTCCCCATGGTAACCCTGGCAAGCCCCAACAGCCTAAAAACATCCCCAAATACCCATGATCCTCCATACTTGATCCCAATTACAGAATATGACCTTCATTCCCTACTCTATGATCGTAGGGATTCTCAACTCTGCCCCCCAAAGGTATGCCGCCCCGGCTTCCTTACTTTTGCAAGGGGATTTTGGGAGGGTACCTCTTCGTGGAGGGACCCTCAACCCCAAACCTGGACCCCAGGAACCTGGAACTCTAAACCCTAAGCCGTAAACCCTTAAACCCAGAAACCCCAATAATGATAGTAATAAAAATACAAATAATAATAGTAACCATACCAATTATAGCAATTATAGCAATTACAATAGTAACAAGAATAATACTCACAATACTAATAATAACAACAATCAAACCCAGAAACCCCCTAAACCCTAAACCCACAATCAAACCCAGAAACCCCCTAACCCCCAAACCCGTTCGCGGAAGCCTCCGCAGCAGAGCTATCGGCTGCGAAAGTGGCAAAACTGGCGCCGACCCAAGCGGCCGCATCGCCCTGCAGGAAAGTAATAGGGTTCAGAGCTTGGGGTTTAAGGTTTGAGAGTTTAGGGTTTTAGAGTTTAGGGTTTAGGGTTTTAGAGTTTAGGGTGGAGGGCTTAGGGGTTTAAGCCTTAGACTCAGGTCACTGCTCACTGCTCCTGCCCACATGACGTTTGAGTTGCTGTCTCTATTGCGCATACTGCAACTGAATGTGCTATCTACTGCAAGTGGCAAAGTCACGTCTCAACAGTATAAGCCACCTGTGCCCCTTCCCAACAGAATGCGTCTCCTGTGTCCCTTCCAATGCCCCAGGGAATCCCAGAAGGAAGGCTCCCAATCGTAAGTTAAACCTCCTGCAATGTTGCCCAACAGGGCTCCTCTGCCACGCCGTTTGAAGAGAGCCACTGCTGTGCAGTCAGCTGTCTCTTGTAGAAGTCTCCCATCAGCGTTGTGACGCAGAGGAGCCTCAGAGTTGGTAGTTCCCTTTCCCTAAAGGTCCAAGGACCCCAACAATAGGGTGTTAGGGCCCAAATACTATAATATTAATGAAATTGGGCCCTACTACCCAATTATTTGGGTCCTTGGACCCTGAGGGTTTGTTGTGAAGGGAACCAATCTCCTGCCCGAACACGAAAATATTCCCTCAATATCATTTGGAGCGGCAGATCAAGTTTTGTAATGTTGCCTTGTGCAGGGGGGGCACAGTGCTGAGGATGAGGGGGACGGGAATAAGTGCGTTTCTGCGTTGTGTCCGCGATGCTGAACTACTGTGTCCTCGTAGCCATGAACCAGGGAAACAAGTACGGGTAATTCATTGGTTTTCTGGAGGCTTTAAGGCCAGAACACTATCAAGGTGCATCACAACACCCCGTATGGTCCCTTATTGGCCCTCCGAATTGTTGAGGGCCATCTTATGAAGGGGGCTCAAAAAGGGAACCTGCTGTTGACATGCCCCCATGTGAAGGAGGATGTGAATTTGCTGCCCCCACCACCCAAAAAAGACACCCCATGTGTCCTTACCAATGTTTCTGGGGAACTCATATGTTCCCACCAAGGCACAACAAAATCAACACACATGTATTCCCAGGCCTTCTGAACTCGTCTTCGCTGTCCACGGGAACGCACTTCCCGCAAATCTCGAATATGGCCTTGTGGAAGGCAGCTTGCCTAAATTACGGTTCCCGTAACTTTCGTGGGGAAAGCGCAGCGTAACAGGTACCAGACTGTAGGCGCCTGGGACCCAAATGTATGCAGGGACCCGTGTTATGTATTACTACAAATTCAAAACAGTTCGCAAAAGCTTCGACGGCAAGTGCGTGGTAAGTAAGCAAAATGGCAACGGCTACAGGTTCAAATGGGAATTCCACTTTGTGCCCTCAAACAATGCCATTGTTGTTGACACTATACCTTCACCAAAGAAGCCTAATTCTGAGTGCAGTTTCCGGCAGACTGCCCAGGTCCTGCAGATTTTGCAGCCGGCTTTTGCAAGTGGTAGTAGCCGAGACTAACTGCCCCAAAATGGCGACTCTACCAGACACGTCGATACCGTGTGCTCTACCTGCCCCTGGAACCCGGGCAAGTATATATATATATATACACACCAAGATTTGTAGCAAGCAAAAGATTCAATTCGAAGTCTCCCCCATGAACCCTACAACGTAGAGTGATCAACCCTTATTTGCAGGAGGCCGGAAATGCTGAGGGGCTATCCTGGGCCCAAGGTCTTGGCGGTGTCAGCAGAGTGGAGCCAGAGCGCCTGTATGAGACTCCCTTCCAAGTTCATCAATGTCTCAAACTTCTCAATCCAGTCTTGAGGTCTGCAAGCGGTCCTACTTTTGGCAAGCATCCATGTTTTCGTTAAAAAGCGCTCAAAAACGGGGACCGTCAACCAATCTGCTAGACAGCTCGCTGGGCATGAGGCTTTGCTTTGCTTTGCTTCGGCCAGGCTGCTCCACGTAAGCTGGGCTGAATAGTGTAATCATAGCTTTCGGTAGTAAGAATTGGAGAAAGCGTATTTCTACCTACGGCTATTAAGACTAACAGCATTCAACTTCTAAATCTGACGCAACACTTGTCTTCCCTAGGTCCAAGGTGTCCACAAATAGCAGCTCTTAGGCTCTGTGTGTTGATGAGGAGCCCACTTGGCAACTGCTGGCAAAGGAATGGCACTGGCACAGTCCGAAGCTGGAGAAGAAAGCTCCTGTCAGGCCATTGTCGAAATGCTGATGAGCTATTCTCAAAGCTTGGCTCTTTCATGAAGAAGAACAGAAAAAGGCCTACAATCTCTACTTTTATTGAAGATTATCTGCGATGTTCAACTAGAAGCCGTCGAATGTGACTGCTAAGTGCACAGTCCTGCAGACGCTTTGGCAGGAGCCCAGCAACGAGTGTCACAACCTTCTGCCTGGTCAGTGAGTTGCACCTAGCTTCGTTACATCCTGTGCACGAAGCATACTGTCTACTTACAGCGCAGATACGACGCGCAGGAAGCATGGTTAGAGCAACGAATGGAGACTGAGGCCAGTGCTCTTCTCGGAAAACGATTCCCTGCATCACCTGCTGGGAGCGGGCAGTGGTTCTCCATGAGCAGAAGCACAAGCAGAGCTGTCCTGGAGAATCAGAGTTACAAGGTGTCAAAAGGCCTCGGGAACTTGCTTGCTCAGCACTGCAATGATAACGCACTCCACCGAGTCGACCACCTGCACATGGACATTAAGAGGCAGTTTAATACTGCCTTGCTGGATAGCTTGCCAACCCCGGGGAACCTCTTGGTTGCTTTTTGCCACCACGACGTGGCTTGGAAATTCATTCGCAAGCTCTGCTGCCTCAGTCGAGTGCGACCCAACACTTTGCAAGTGCTGAAACAACCTGTGTCGCGTGCCTTCGCAGCCCCTCTGGGTGAAAGGAAGACCCTGCGGCCACATGGAACCCAGACCACTGGGAGCATCCGGCAAGTAGAATTAAGAACATCCAATTGGGTACCCTATGCTACTAGATTATTTATGGATGTGCGTCAGGGGATGATTCTGGATCAGCAGCGCCTGGGCGTTCTCTCAGGCAAGCCAGGACCAGGGGTCAGGAGTCCGCGGATCACGGCGGAGCCTGCTGCGAAAGCGCTCCAGAACTTGTGAACTTCTTTGGTTTAGGGTTTAGTGTTTAGGGTGAAGTTCTTTGGGCCCTAAACCCTAAACGGTAGTTTCCCCGTTCTTTTCCATTGTCCCTATATCAACTTAGGAGTTAAATAATACATGTATCTGAGATATCTGTAGGACCTCATTCTTAACACATTCCCAGCTATTGGCCCTAAAGCTGGTACCACTCCCTGGCCTATGGTGCCGACGCCAACGAGGCCAATGGTGGCTGGGAGCTCATCGAGCATGACCTCCACACAACCCGCCTACATGGTCTCCCACATGCAAGGTTGTCAAAATCATGGCCCGTTCACGGCTACGCTATATGTTAGGAGCAGGAACCCGAGAAGGGACCACACTTTTGACATCCCCTGCATGGGCCTCCAGCTCACTCACCAGCTCCCTAAGACGGTTGCGGTCTGAGCCAATGGCAATCTGACTGCATGAAGATCACGCCACAGCATCAACTGACCCATCTGATTTGACAAACTTACCTGGCTGTCGGTAAGCAGTTTCTGCAAATTAAGCCGACGGGTCGCAGGCTACGAGGCGGTATATGTACCAGGCCTCCACAGAATCCTTGGCCCAAGGCCTCATACACCCGGCTGGCTTGGCCACGGGGTGGTGAGACTGAGAGCGCTTTGGAAGATGCCCTGCGCAGGGAAGGGCTTCGCCCCAACGCATCACGGCCAGTGCTGCCCTGTGAGCAATTAGCAAAAGATCCAGCAGAGCTTGGCTTTGCAAGGCCTGGACTGGCGGAATGCGTGCAAGCAGGGAGGCCGCTGATCGTTGTGCCAAAGCAAAGCGACGCAGCACGGCTTCTGGTGGTGGTGGACCCTTCAGCTTCTTCCGGTCACGGCGAAAGCGCCAGCGTGGGAGGCAGTCTGCAGCAGACCAGCTGACCTTCCTGCGACCCTTCACGTTGAGCTTCTCTGACGTCAGCCCCCTAGCAAGCGTGAGCTGCTGGTCGAGGGCACGCTCAGCGGTGACCTCTGCCTGGCGGAAGAGGCCAAGAGCTTGGCTGCTCAGCTTCCAACTCACTCTGGACTTCACCGGCAAGCCCTTCTTGCGAGAGAGCCTTGAGCCAATCGAGCGAAGTATCAAGAACAGTCGAGCGAAGCGCGAAGAGACCTCCGGCTCTACACGACGGCCCCGCATTTGGGCTGACAGACGCAGCAAAGGCCGCCAATCCGTTGACCAAAGCCAGCGCCATTCCAGATGCAGCTCGAACTGCTTTAAGTGCACAGCTGCAATGCGATTGTCTTGGCAAGGCGCTGAAGCAAGCTTGCGCGCAAATTTGTAGAAAATCATGTTCAGGCGAGGGTCGCCTCGCCAGACAGCCAGCCGCGGCACCAGTTGGTCTGCCGAGGCGTGCATCTGCCAATCCAGCTGAGCCGGTTTGGCGAGCTCGGAAACCTTCTTGGGGCTGCTCTGGGAATCCTCCAAGTTCTGGCGCCTGTGTGGCGTGGTGGCCGCGCTCACCGCTATGGCATTGATCTTGGGGTCCGTGAGCCAAGACGGGATGATGCACTCCTTGTACCTGTGGTCTGCGTTGATGCAGAAGGTGCCAGGCAGCTCGTTGACGTTATTTGTCCGCCAAACACGAAAAATCCCTCCACATCCTCCATCCACCCAAAGAAGGCCAGGACGGACCAGGCCATAGGTCTCATGAACAGCGCAGTGAACGGCCTGCTTCCCTCGGTACTGGACAAGGTACGCGTGGTGTCCCACCAGAACAGCTGGTTCTCCGCTGCCCTGCATGTTATGCACATCCTGACGATTCCAAGGATCCAATGAAGCCCAAGTCCCCATACGGCGCCGCAGGACGAGGAGCTGTTCCTTCTGCCCGCCAAAAGCCAAACCAGCAAAGAGGCGGAGCTCCCTCGCAGCTCCCCTGTCCTCTGCAAAGCCAAGAGGCTTGAACAGCTGCTGCACTTCTTCAGCAGATCGAGGGTTGGGTCCAGCGCTTCCCCACAGAATCACGATGCCGAGTTCCGCGTGCCGCACCAAGTTCATGAGGAATGGCTCTTCTTTGGAGCGCGGAATGAACTGGCCCACTTCAAGGCTCAAGACCCAGTCTGCTGAACCAAAGGACACCGTCAGCAGGCCAAGACTCTGCAGAAATGAGTCGGGCAGAAGTTTGCGTGCTGTAAAGCCGTCTGATGTTGGCGAAGTTGGCGATGCTCTTGCTGTGGGCCAGGACTTGCGCCGTAGATATCTGAGCCCGTAGAAGAAGGAGGGTCGCGTGCCGTTGTAGGGATCTTCACCCTGGCTGGATGCGAGGCGCCAAACAGAGCCAATGGGTGGGTCGCTCACCCCCATGCCATAACCAACACAGCGCACGTCGCTGCAACAAATGTGACGCAAGAGAGCCACAGAGTGATGACCGCCAGTTCCTTGCATCTTCAAGCCAACACTCAGAATGAGGGTTGCATCTTCCTCCTCTGTTGGATCATCAGGTGCCTCAAAACTGCAGGCACCTGCCTGGTCCGCCTCCGACTCGATGGCCTCAATTTGAGTGAGGAAAAGATCCATAGTCCCGTCCACCCCATCACCGCTTAGCCCCGCCGGAATTAGGGACCGAAAGCCCTCAGCCTCACTTGCACGGATTCCCGGTAAGTCCAAAGGTTCTGTCAGATCCCAAACAAGGCTGCTCTTGGGAAGTGTTCGGCGAACAACCACGTCTCCATCCACGCCAATGGCAACAAGGCCCCATCGCTCAAAGAGCTCCACATAGCTGCCGCGCCCGCATCCCATGTCCAAGACCCGGGCCGGTCGCGCTGGGCGTCCAGGCTGCCGGAAAATTCGCTGCCCACAGCGGCGGGCTGCTCGGTCCACGTCATCCCGGAAGAACCGGGCTAAGCGAACTGCCAACTGACCATCAAAGTTTCCATTCGAGGCCGAGCCAGTCAAAAAATAATCCATGTCAAACAGTTCAAAGAAGGCTGGATCACTTTCCACATAGCCATTTGTATGACGTGGAGGATCCAGGTCACAATAATTGGTCCGAGGCCGCCGACAGGGTGCCACTTTGTTGAAACATATACCTTTTAGCTTCCGCAGCTGAATAGCTTCGGGTCGTGATCTCAGAAACCACTCCAGTAGATTTTCTGTGTAGAGGTTCTCACACGTTTCTCGCGAACCTTGTGCCAAGGACGAGAGCACTGCAAATGCGCCGGCACTACTACATAGACTGCATGTGCAGGACTAGCCGCTTGCGCTGGGCTGTTGCCAAACCCGAAAACAGATTAATCATACCAATTGCACCTAACACCTGGAAACCTGCTGATCAGCGTAGAAGCCGTGCTCCTTTCAGCATGCTTCTCTTGGCATGTTATAAGGCTTTGATATAACACCGGAATCTTGTTGCTTGTTAAAGCATCCTTCCGAGGTATGGTAGCTTTGACATAGCATGCAAGTGGCGGATGGTGGCATGCTCCACGCACCAAGGGGGGGCAGCTTGGTAGCTCCAGCTCCTCATGAGTCTCAAGAGAAATTCTACAGACTTCCCCAAGGTCGTATACAAGCATCTTAAACGGATTATGCCCCTTAGAGCCTCATTGGTTTTCGACCAGAAAATCTAGAAACAGTTCAATTCAAGGATCATCCAAACGAGATGTTCAAGACTTAGCAATATTACTGTCGCCTGTACTGAGACCCATCGGAGCTTTCATGCTTAGCTTTTACCTGCTTGCCAACATAAACTTTGATCCTTTGGCTCATGTAAACCCACTGTCAATTGCACGTATGGGGTCTGAAAGAATGGTACGGGATTGGTTTGACACCCTCTCCAGCACACAGACCCAGTCTCTCTCTGGGACTCAGAAGGAATCGGAAGAGGCCGCCGAAAATTCCGCGCATTTGCGTCCAGGATCCTGGATCTTTAGAACATTTTTTTGAGTTTGGCAGGCTACTTAATCGCTTGGCTTGTTGCTTAAGGCGTTGCTCAGCTTGTATGATATAACCGAGATACCAAGCACAATTCTTGTTTCCATCACCATGATAATCCTGAACCATGCTCGCAAGCCCTTGCCCTACAAGCCCTGTACATCGCTTTTTTATCAACCCTATTACTCGCGGCCCCGGTTCTACGCTACCCATAACACCTTCTTCCAATTAGTTGTTCCCTGCAAGCCCTGCGTGTCTATAAAGCCTAAATGCCTCATCCCTGGCCTCAAGGCCTTCAGCCACAAAGATGGCAAATATCCCCCATATCCCTCGGCTCTGCAACCCTAAAACCCCCAAAGCGCAAAATAAGCCTTCGGAGCTAGTTTTTCAAGCCAGTAGCCGATGAGAAACTGATCCTCGACCACACCCTGTCTGGAGTGCGCAAGGGAGAGGTTCAGGATTGAGGGTTTAAAGTCGGGGTTTGGGGATTAGAGATTGTCGGGTGGGGTCTGGGGATTTGACCTTTTGGTGCTTTCAATTCTGGGTTAGGGTTCAAAGTTGAAGGTCCAAGGGTTCAGGAATGGAGGTTCAATTGATGGGGCTTGATTATTCATGCAAGGATTCCGTTCCGAAACTCTATGAGTGAGACTCCGGGCAGAGATGCAGTCACTGTTCGGGATCCTTCCGCAACTTCGGTACGAAAAGGACCTAGTATTGTTTTCAGAGAACTATATTTAACTGCAACAAATTACAAGGCACTGGTCCCCGTTCAGGCACAGCACTGAGGGATACCCCGCCAGCACATATCAACCTGAGACCTGGCTATCCTGATATTGATGGTAATGCATGTGATCCTTCGTCCATCCTCCTGTGTCAATACCACACCAGTCAGGATGATGATTCTCTGAAAATGGGAGAGCAGCGGGGTATTCAAAACGAAGGGAGCTGACTGTACCATGAGGCCTTTTCGCGGCTGAGGCTTCATGAGAGAAAGCAGCTCTTTACAACAGCACTCCAGTGCAGAGGCTATATTAGGCTTCTACTCTCGGGTGAGGTTTGTGGCATGAAGATGGAAATGGGATCTTCTGTGGATACGTGTTCAACTCGGTCCTGGGCTGTACCTGAATCGCCCGGCAGATGACTCTGCCGTTGTTCTGTACAGGTGCAAAATCATGGAGCCTGCGCCTTAAAAAAGAGGGATCCATTGCTGCGATCTTGGAACTATAGGAGAGGGAGGGGGCTCAAAATCTTTTGTCTGCGCAAGAGCCCGTTTAGCTGTCCTGAATCATGTGGGAATCTCTTCTTTTACCCCGGAGTCCTTCAAGGGGATATGTCCCTGAAGTCCCTACAGCTCCCAGGCAATGACGCGCCTGGATGGGCATTGGCACCCAGTTGGATAATACAAATGGCGGGGCCATGTCCTTGAATTGGTTCAATGCACAAACGGGGGTTTGGAGCACTGAGTCGCACAGGGAGGGCAAGCCCAACGTGAGGGGAGCTGTGTGCATGAACGTTAATCAAAGCAAGACCTTTTTCCAATGACAACGCCCGTGATCCTGATTCGCAACCTCCAGGGTTCATCTGGATGAGTCTTCGACCAGGTTTTTGAAACGCATCTTATTTGTTGAGAATAATGATTGGCTTACTGGGCATTGACATAAAAAGAAAACCTCGTCGCAACAGTTCTCATAAGATACGCTGCACTTAAGAAATCTAGAGCTCCTCAGGAAATACAACCCAGAACCCATCTAAACTGACTTGTAATCAGGTCTCTTCTCAACTTCAAGCCCCTGAGCCCAAATCTCCAAATGCACCAAAGGCTCTTCCAGCTCCTCACGCGAAATCATGGAGTGCCACTGTACGTCTGGCCTGCTGCGGGCCGCCCAGCGGTAGCCCATAGTGCCATCCTCAAAAGGTTCAGGGGTGGTGACGATTTGGGGAGTTTGAAGGATCTAAGGCTGAGGGAGGGTGATTTCACAGTGGCTTGGGAGTTCGGGGTCGAGGGTTGCAGGCTGGTTATTTAGCTTGTCATCAAAACCCCGCTTGGGAAATCAGGCATGTGAAGGGTTGACCCCTTTGGAAGGATGCAGGTGCAGCAACATCCAAATCCACCTTTGTGGGAAATGTGATTATGGGCAAAGCTTCGGGATTCATTCACCAGGAGATTGGGTTTCCCCGCCGAAATGCGACCCAACAAATACGAAATAAAGGCCACAAACGCCTAGCAAAGGACATGAACCACACATGAGCCTGAGAGTCGGGTGAGATCTTAAGTCGGCCGGTAGACTGCTTACAGAAGTGTTCTATACATGAATCAAACCACTACGATAAAATGACATGCCTCATAAGAATGACCTTGTGACACTTACACATCCATGGCAAAGTCCTGACCGTGGACAGCTTATTCTTCGCACTTAGGGCTCCCAAAGCGCAGCAACAAGTATCAGAAATCCTCATTTCTCCATAAACTTCACTCAACTCTCCAGAGTCTACCTCCTTGGAAATGCGTTCCCTGTGCTACTCTAAAGCTCGATTGTCGTACATCATTCCCTCGGCAACAACCCATGAGTTTCAAAATCCCTGCACCGAAGGCAGACGTCCTCACCATCCGCAGCCTGAGCCTTTTCCTGCAGGTGATGTACGCACTGTGCCAGCTGCCTTGCGGGGGTTTCAGGGTCAAAAGCCTTTCTTAGAGCTTGAAGGATTTGCATCGATGGAAGAGTTTGAAATCAACTGCTACTGTAAAATCTAACTCCTACCATCTCCATGTCCTGATTGTTCGAATAAGCCGCGGTGCTAGTAGACTTAGTAGACATCATCGGACGTGTGTTCATGTATCAGACGCTTCAGTCAAACGAGTCCCCCTCTGTAGTGCTCCGGACAAAAAGTACTTAGCTTCGGCATTGCTGCTAATGTTGAGCATTTGGCTCCTGGGTTATGCTACCTTTGCTTCAGCTAGCTACAGTATGTCTTCATTCCCATACCTGCGGCATGTGCTCAGAAAACAGCTACCAGAATCCCTCAGCAAAAATCTGCTCAGAGGTACCTGCAGCCGCCGCTCATGTCATTGGGCCCTGAAAACCTGCGCTCATGCAACTTTGTCATCTATTTGTACACGCAAACCTTCCAAAGAGGCCACAAGTCTCAGAAACCTCCAACCTAATACCTTTTACATATCCCTACTACAACCCCGATAAAGCCAGTAAAATGGAAGTCTGCGAAACCCCATATTCCTGCCTGGCAGGGAGCAAAGTGTTCCTCAGCCTCCCATAGTCGAAGTACCGGTGTCCCGCCTCACCAACCGAAAAACTGTTGGCAATAGGGAGTACTAAGATTAGTAGAGGCTTGAGGTAGAGGGGTTTGGGGGTCTGATCCCGGACAGACTCTGTAATGCAAAGGAGGACCTGTGCTGCTGGGCATGTTAGGTTCTGGAGACTTCCTCGACATCCATCTGACAGTGATGATGTTGAAAATCTGGGACCCCATCAATCAGAGGGCTTCATACGGGCCGGATACTAGAACAAAAAATGTTCAAAGGTCAAAGCGCGAGGGCTTCATGGCTTCAAAGTTGTTAGTAATAAAATGTCTTGGGCTTAAGGGCTGATGAACAGATCTTCAGGTGCAAAGCTTGCGCGTTCTGAGTTCAGGGTTTCCTGGTTCTTTCTTGGGACAAAACGTATTTTCAACTGCAATTGTACGTTCCTACATTATGTGTCCAACAGTGACCTAGCTCAGGGCATCTCATCTGAATCCAGCCTCACTAAACATGAAGTTCTCCATCCAGAGCCGCTCCTCGGGAGCCTGCAGTCAAGTGGTACGGCAGCGGTCTAGGGTTTAGAGTATGCCTCAGATATGGGATAAGGGGATATATGGAAATGGAGAGTGTGTACGGGGATGTGTAGGGTGTTTTGGGCTGATGTTGAAACCCTACAAGTGGCCCTAAAATTGGGGTTGCATGTTAGTTTGGGGAATGTTCGGACATTCTTCAAACATCTCAAGGATCTATCACACCCACAATAATGAGGATGTTGACTACCACTATCCCTCTAGTGAGGACACTGCGACTACCATATGACTCTCATCAGCTCTTCATGTTTGTTTAAGGTTAAGTTGGTCATCTCTGCCAACATCTGAATAGGCATCCCAGTTCGCTCGCTGGAACTCCAAGGTCCTCTGGTGTCTTATGTGCTTCCGAAATTGCCACCGGGAGTATTCGCACACGTCCTTTTGCATCCATGAGCGCTTCATTAGCTCGGATCTTGGCCCTACGGCTCTACGCACAGCAGATGTACTGCGAACCTTGAGCCCTGCGCAAACAAGCACTCTGCTGTCCGAAACTGCTACCACGCCATGACCATCATCACGTAAGAGGCTGACAAGAGGGCGACTTCAACAATGTTGAGAGTTGGGGTCAAGCCGCAATTACATAACCCTAAACCCTAAAAAACACCTAAACCCCTAAACCCTACACCCTATAGTAGTTCCCAAATTTTTTGGATTATCCATATACCTCGCACCACGCCTCAAGATCTTCTGGAAGGCAGAGTGCCTGCTCACAGACTCTGGGTGGGGGGTTTAGGGGGTTAGGGGGTTTGCGGGTTCAGGGGTTTGGGGGGGGTTTGGGGGGGTTTGGGTTTGGGGTGGTTTGGGGCTTTGGTGGAGTAAGGCATCCCTAGACCCCAAATCCTCAATCCCAAACCCTGAACCCTTAACCCAAACCCTAAACCCCACAAACCCTAAAGCCCAAACTTTACATGCTAAACCCTAAACCCTGAAACCCACATCTGAAACCAAAAAAACCAACCCCCGCATCGAGCCTGCATGTAAACGTCTGTTCCGCCGTAGAAGGCGAAATGCGAGGCCACCTGGATGAGCTCCTGTGCCTTTGGGCACTCCTGCATCGCTTGGGGCTTGGGGGTTTAGGTTAGACATTCTCTCTTGGGGCTTAAGCTTTAGAAGTTGGGGCTCAGGGTTCAGGGCTTCAAGGGTTTTGCTTAGGGCTTAGGACCTTAGTTTCAGGGGCTCAAGCTGTAGCATTTCGGCTTCAGGAGTCTACCAGGATCCCGGAAGATGATCAGAACCGTGACAGTCAGTTAACCCGAAGGATCATGAAACGATTAGAATACTATAAACCTTAAATGACAGTTTCCATGTTCTTTGCCATTTTCCTTATATAACCCCTCTATTATACCCCTATATGCCTGTATTCCTATAAGAAGCACTGCTGCTGACAGAACACGGAATAATGAGTAGTTCACAGACTTAGCAAGCCATCACGCACGGAGCCTTCGATGCTCGAGGCTCCATCAAGATGTCCAAAAGACTCTGCAACATGCCCAGTACAGGTAAAGGAGTCTGATAGCACCAAGACAGTCGGCTAAACCCTGAAAAACCTGAAGCACGTATCTGCCTACATACTTGTATGCATGGCAACATGCATACACATGTATACATACACACACATACATATATATATATATATATATAGACCCTGAACGGCGTAGGGCAGCGTCTCAGGGAGGTTTAGACACACCTCCTCTGGCACTGCCAAGATGACATCGGCTGTGGCAAAGGGCTTAAGGAAGACCTGGCGGAATCAGGAGGTTGAAGTGATCGGGAAACCTAAGGGTTGAGGGTTTGGTGTCTATACGGCGTGTGGGGCTAAAGGGGCTTTGCACAAGAAACATAGCGAACGTGGTTTCTGTGCTTTTGCTGCTGAATTCCATGTCATTGCGTCGAGAGCGTTGTTTCGGTTTGCAACGCTGCAACGAAGCAAAATTAAGAAACGCGATTCTAAAATTCGTGTGCTGACGACCTTGCGGGGAGCTGAGTCGCAGAGTTGTCCCTGCTGCGAGCTTCACAGGCCTTCATGAAAATGAAGTGGTTTCATAGCTTTTTTGCTAAAGCAGCTGACGGTAAACGAACACCGGAAAATGAAGCATTCAGGACGAAGACACCCGATCGTAGCTAGGAATGCGAGAAGGCTAACAAACCTTCTCGAAGCAGTTTTCGTGGTCTGTTACAGTTACAGGGTACCACGCATAGGATGTCGTATCTTGGAGTACTAAGTCTAGGAGTACTTAGATATCACAGCCGTGTTGGAAGGTACCGATGGAGCAAGTGTACACCAGCAGTCCTGCTCCCAATTGGCATGCTTACGATTTGGAATACCCTTGTAAAAGAATAAAAGAGCTAGCCGGGTTTTGAGCAGGTGATCAGCTGTTTCGAAGTCACGTACTACTCCTTATCAACCACAAGAGCCTGAATACAAGGATATGGTTTTAGCATGCATCCAGGGCAAAAATTGACCGCCTGGAAGAAGCTCAGAAGATCTGTAGCATCGCAAATGCCTGATACAGCTTGACACAATGTGATAGTACCGACACAGGACATGCGAGCACGCAATTGCAACAGTGTAAGGAAAGCGAACTGTGGTGCTGTTGATGACAGTGATGATGAATACTGAATGAATGAATAAATGAATGAAATATTTTTAAGATTTTGTTAACATTATCTTTATTATTGCTATCACTCTTATTCATACTAACTGTTGTACTTTCTTAAAAATAGAATTCGAAAAGCAGAGGTCGCCCTTGACTGCCTCCTCGGCTTCCTACTTCTCCTTCTTCTCCTGATCCTCATCCTTCTCACCATCTTTGTGGCTGATGCCGGTGACGGTGAACAAAATGATGGTAATGATGATGATAATGATGATGATGATGATGCTGATGATGGTGGTGGTGCTAGTGAGACGAACTGTACTAGCTGTGACAGTTAGTACCGCTATGACAAGACGTGGTCTTACGTACAGAACCACCGAACACGCGCTGCAGGCCAAAGTGACAGGAAGACGAGGCAAGGGAACAACAAGGGTAATGTCCATAGAAGAAGCCTGACATGAGTCCAATCCGCAGCCATAAAACAAGAAACATCCCAACACTATTCACTGTTGATGGTTCAGCAGCCCTAAACTCTAAACCATAAACCCTAAAAGGGTTGGTTATGCCCATCAGAAATTTGCCGTCTGTTTTACATGCTTCCTTGGCCTCTGAGCTGCCCAACCATGCACACCCCGATCTCGCGAGCATAGGAGCTGCCTGCGTTGCCCGAAACCACATTATTAATAGTACTATTCCAGAACTACTGAACAGTATTACTACTATTAGCACTCGTATTACCAGTATCTTTACTATAGGGTGTGGGGATGAGGGTTAAAGGTAGGATTTTTGCTGGCTCAGAGCTCAGAAGGACACACCATGCACAGGCTTGGCACCCCTGCATATGCGGTAAAAAGTATGGTGAACAACCTGCCCCATATCCCTCAGCACGCACTAACTCTCCTTCTACTCCCTCTTGTTGTCCCTTCGGTCCCACCCAGCATTAGATCAGAAAGGATGGCACTTTGTAGCAGGAAAACAGTGCTTCCAAACAACGCCTCACGAGATGGCGATTCAAACATCGTGCATTCTGAAGGGCTGACCTGGAGAAACCACTTACCAGATGTACCACATACCCAAGGAGCCTAAGCAACTAGAGTGAGGCCTAGTTGCATGTCAGACATACAGCGCTCAAAGTACAAGGACTGCAGCAAAAAGTCTACCGGCAGTGACTCGGGCTTCAGCAGTATTACAAGAACTTCTTTGTGCCCAGGGTGCCTTTGCAGATGTGCACAGGGACAAGCACCAGCAGTTGGAACGCAAGGAGCCTCAGCATGCCTCCACGCCATGCCTCCAGGGGTTGGATGGGGATTGCAGGTATATAGGGTTTATATAGGGATCATATAGAGATTATTTAGGGATTATATGAGGGTTAAATATGGATTATATGGGGATTAGATTATTATAGGGGTTATATAAGGAGTAAAAAGGGTTCATATAGCGGTTGGGGGTTGAGGGTTCAAGGTTCCATCACTTTGAGGAGCTTTCATGAAGGGGAGGATGTCTGAACATTTGAGGACTTGCCGCTGAGGCCCTCATGCCTAACATGTTGATGCCCAAACATAAAAAGGATTCTGTGCCCCGCATACAAATCCCTACAAACTCCCTATATATAATCTATATATACTTACCACAGAATCCCTATAGAGAATCTCGACATGATCCCTATTATAATCGCTATGGCAATTCCACAGGAACAACCCAAGCTGCCAGATAGGCACTTATAAAGTGCCATGTTTGAACCCCTAGCCGCCCTAGCCCCAAACCCTAAATCCCTGTAATCCTAATCCAATAGTAGCTTCCAATTCTCTTTTCCATTTTCCCTATATAACCCCCTATATATATCCTATTATATTATAGTAGTTTCTATTTTCTTTTCCGTTACCCCTATATAACCCCCTGTATATACCCTATTATATTATTGTTGATTCCATGTTCTTTTCCATTACCCCTGTATAACCCCCTGTATATACCCTATTATACTGTAGTCGTTTCCATTTTCTTTTCCATTATCCCTATCTAACCTACTCCTTTCAACCCTACATGCACCAAACAGGTATAATGTAGACCCCTGATTCATAAACCCCCCTCCTTTTAAGGACCTTAACATTAGGATCCCTATAGTACAATCCCTATCAAGGGGAGGCGGTTTTCAATCATGGGTCTGGGTTAGCCAATATTTTCGGGATCGGGTAGAGATACACCAGCCTCCAAGAGGCCTCTGTTGCATTCTTGCAATCACTTGAGACCCTACTTGAAGGTTCAGCGGTGCAGTATGTTCTGAGCCTCAGGCTGCGTAAGCATGTTCACGAGCACGAGGACAGACTGATCCACAAGATTCAGATCGCCCCTCTCAGCTTTTCCGCTTAGAGTTTGGCTGCGCTGCCCCTACGATAAACGGCCGAGAGCATGCGATTCTCTTCGGCTTTAAATAGGGTCGGCGAGGCTCACTGGAGCATAGAAGCACCAAGGTCTCACAGCCCTTTTTTTGCGAACTACTCGTGCGATTCCCAGTGTGAGTTGCAGCATAAGTTTGAACTCACAGCTTTTCCGTCTCCTGGGAATCATCTAAGAATCTCTAAGCTCACAAGCTCACGGCTCGTGGTATTAGAGATGTAGGCCACGGCAAGGTGTTTTTTCTTGAAAATGTTGTCTAAAAGTTCATTGGCCACTTCTGACATGCAGTCACCGTGCTGTGGCTGACGTGCAGCTAGATGCACATTCCGCTCATTGCTAGTGCCGCCTGGCACGATGGCCAAGCACTCTGTCAAAATGGAGGAGACGAAGTGAAGGTATGGGAAATATGCAGGGCTAGTTTCAAGGGAGTCCCTGTACCTATCTAAGTCTGAAGATCTTCATGCAGCATAGATGCAGGTCTTTGGAGGCTGAGGGCACCACTTTGGCTGATCTTCCGACCTTAGTTGATCGGCTAAACAAATCCTGCCGAATCCCTCCCCCACCTGCCAGCGCAAGGCAGCCCGCAATAAACATACAGCCGCCACTAGAATTAATAAACAGATAGATACTGAAAGGATAAATCGATAAACAAATAATCAAATAAAGATACATGAATCTAAGGAATAAATCCTGAAATGAGGCAACGCTCATCAGGAAGGTCATCTTTTGCAACGTTATTCAGATCCTATCCCATCAGACGTATGGGTGGTTGTCAAAATTATGGTCCCTTTTTGGATCCCTATTATAATACGGCACCTAATATTTAGGGTACCCAAAAAGGGACCATAATTTTGACAACCACCCCTATGAATTCCAGAAATGCCTCGGCCCGAGGATGCAGCGATACCAGGAAAAACGTTCCCTGATTGCCTTTCATCGTTATCCACCCTGACAGGGCCCGAAAGTCAGGGTTCAGATCAAGTTTGAAGTAGCTGTAGCTGACACTAAATAGTAGTTTCCATTTTCTTTTCCATTATCCCTATTTAACCCCAATATTACCCCAACATATCCCCTATAACACCCTACTGCACGAACTCCCGAGCAGGCCTTTTGATAGAAACTCCAAGAAGTTCAGTGAGCCTCCCTGCAAGATTTCCCCCTTGTCTTTGCTGTCCTTGTACAGAATTAATCAAGCTGTGGGTGGCCTCAGCGGTTTTTCGATTCTCAAGCCACTGTGAAGGAGTAAATCCTCGAAGGGGCCCTGTACACGCGACACTGCTGCTTTTCGAAGTTAAGGGGCTCCGTATCACCTGGACCCCTTCCAACGCCAGCCCCCCTCTACTCGGACACGCAAGCACAGTCCGACTGAACCTTCCACAATGCAAGAAAATCGTGCAACACCTGCAAGACAAATTCCTACATCAAAGGCTCTCAACTTCAAAAGAACACATCAGGGGATTTGGTAACCTCAGCGCCCAAATTTAGGCCCCGATAGCAGTTATCGTGCTACTCACCCTCCAGATCAAAATGCAACTTACCAAGGAAACTTATGGAAACTTCACCACTCAAAATACCCATAGCAATAGGCTGTGTATGCACTATTTGAAGGCAAAAGGCCACCATTATGCTTCTTTGGGAGGCCGCCTCAGAATTTCATGGGATTTGCAGACCGCGCCTACAGCCTGGTCTTTGCGCGCTCTTGCTCGTATTCTTAGAATACCGGCCTCTGGGTCCTGTCAGGATCTAAAGATCAAAAGTTCAATCACATCCCCTAAAAATCTACAAAAATCATTATTGCAGCAGAGCATTGTGAGGTTTGTTTCTGCAGGTTGACAAACGGACATGGGGGGGTTGTCAAAATCATTGCATCGTTTTCGTCTAAGGGGACATATACGAGGGACCCAATAAGGGACTGCCGTTTTGACGAAGCATCTAAGCTCCTGGATTCTGGGCTGAAGCATGGGCAATGCGGTTTCGGTTCCGCGCCGGGAAGTCTGGAGCTTGCACGATCTGAAAACCATGAGGGCTCCGTAAATCTTGGAATGCCTTCAAACCTTGGGGGCATCCCTGTGGTTCCAGATCCTCCTAAATGTGGTTGGGGTGCTCTCGCCTGCTGTTGCGCTCTGGGAATGCACCGGACAGTATGCACGCAGTACACTGTAAACTCTAAACTCTAAACTCTGGACCAACCCACGCCCTCCTCCCTGAACCGTAAATGGAACATTGGCTCTTGGAGCTCCTCACGAGGGCCCTCGAGGACGTCCAAGATCTCAGCCTCCTGTGTGCGGCTCACAGAAAGAGATAGATAAGGATTTTTGGAATGTAATACAGGCTTTGAGATTCATGGGCAATAGGACTTAGGGCTTATGGCCTGTGCTTGTTGCCCGAATCATGCTGAGCTCCTCTACTCTTCGGACCGTAGCAGCGGTCTTTGTGGCTAAGGTGTCCTGCAGCACCTGGCGGCCGTCGTGACAGGCGTGACAGGTGGAAGAGGAGCAAATCCTACCAGAACCACTGCTGCTGCTGCGGCTGCTGCTGCTACTGCTACTGCTATTGCTACTGCTGCTGCTGCTGCTACTACTACTACTACTACTACTACTAGCCGCCCCCCCCCGCCTACCAACTATGTTCCCTT